TATGATGTAAATAAGAACAAAAAGAAATAATTAACAAATAATAAAGAATGCAAATCATATTTAAGCATGCTTACAATTTATCACAAACAGACCTGCTATATATGCAGATAGCAACTGAATTAGTTTGTTCAATAAAAGACCCTATTAAATATTTTGTTTTAATTTTGATTGCACAATACATGCATGCACACACACACACACACAGACACACACACAGAGAGAGAGAGAGAGAGAGAGAATAGTTATACATGTCGAAAAGAACAGAACAGAACAGAATATAATTCTTTATTGGCAAAGTGTGTTTGGACCCCAAAGGATTTTGTCTTTGGTCCATATGCTTTCAGTGTACATAAAAAGACAAGATACATTCATCAAGAATAATAAGGTACAACAGTTAATGATAGTCATAGAGTACAAATAAGCAATCAATACACAATATCAATATAAATTGTAAGGATGCAAGCAACAAAGTTACAGTCCTGCGGTCATAACTGGGAGGAGATGGGTGATAGGAATGATGAGAAGACTAATAGTAATAATAAAGCAGCCTTAGTGAATAGTTTGACAGTGGTGAAGGAATTATTTGTTTAGCAGAGTGATGGCATTCTATCACTCTTGTAATGTCCAATCCAAGAAACCAATCTCTCTCTTAAGTTCACAGTCAAATAATAAATAGTGTTGCTGTATGTCTTCCATCACTGACCAGTTGTTCTAAACCTGCTCTAATAAATAAAATAAAAATAAAAGATAGTAAATTGGGTCTCTTTTTAATGAATCTGGGATTATGCATTACTGAAGTTATTATTTTGGCTGAGATAATGTACAACATTTGATCTTTCCATCACTGCTGTACCTTCCTTTTCTGAGAAGACCCTTTGGTGGATACAGAGCCTTTCCCACCTTCATGTGCATCCAAAGCCCCCAAAGCAATGAGGTTGGTGCCATAAGAACAGTTGTGTACTTTGATCCTTAATCCCTCACCACTCTGTATCCCAATCCCCATCCATGAGATCTACAATGGCTAACTGCAATCTTCCATGAAGAAGATATGGTTGAATCTATTGGTCACCCATCACCACCCAACTCACTTTACCAGATAAAGGAACACACACAGACAGACATAAACAAACCTGTGGGACTTTGTAGGTGCCTACTAAAGTTGACATCTGAATGGATATGTCAAAGTCAGCTGCATCAAGAAGAGCCAAAAGGTGGTCCATCCTTCCACAGCTGTAGTTGGGAACATTGGCTTTTCCAGTAGAGAGCATGTCCAGCAAGACATCTGAAGTGCCAAGTGTGTTATCATAGTTGTCATGGATGTTGTAGCCCAGTGTGAAATTATGCAGACATTTGACATTCTTGTTGGCCATTTCAATAGCAAAAATGAAGCGTTGGGTGCATCCAGGACCAAAAGATGTCATACTATAAAAAAGTTTTAACATTATTATCTTTGCCATCATTATTGTCATCAAAAGCTACAACCATTTTCCCCCTGTATACCCCTTTGTCTCTGCAAGTTTATAGCCCTCCACAAGTTTATACTCCTTTGTCTCCACAACTCTTAAGCTAAAACTGATCCAAAAGCAAAGTTATAGTTATCTGTACCATTTTTTAATGAATGTTGAGAAGATGAAATAGAGATAGCCTTCACCAGGTTAAGAATCACAAATACATCATTATTTGTAGTGCTGCTAATATTCATTTATATAATTTAAAACATTCTACCATTAAAGTAGAACTACTATAAAAGCTATAAATGGCTTAATAAATGAGCCAGCAAAGTAATTCTTTTTTTAAAAAAGGTCATATTTCTAAGTAAAAGGCATTGAATATGATTTGCCAGAGGCAAATAAAACCACTTTAATAACTACATGATATGATATGATATGATATCTTTATTGATTAGCCTACAGGCCGTATCAAAGCACAAGGTTCAAACACATATCACCAATAAAATCTTATGCAAAAATTTAAAATAAGAGTAAGATAAATACAATAGTTATAGGATAAAATACAATATAATTTAATACATAAATATATAAAAAAGAATAAAATGACATAAATTATATTTTGGTGTCACCCTTACAATCTACCCCAATCAGTCCCACATATGCAGATTTCAACTGAACCATTTTGTTTAAATATTGTGCTGTATTAAATGTTATTTTCAGGTTTTGGCCAGAGGTGGGTTGCTCCGCTTCTGGCCACACATAAAGTAAGTTGTTTTGATATGGGGATCCCAATGGGTCATTCGTTTGGTATATGGACCAAGATACCTGTCTCTCACCGCCTTATACAAGCAACAATCAAATAGTATCTGAGCCAGGTCTTCCACCTCTGCCACTCCACAAATGCAGAGACACTCAGTGTAGGGTAAAGAATGGAATACTGATAAAGATAAGTATTCAAGAGATGAACTCAGGACTGAAAATGGAGTAGAAGATCCCCTGGAGTTCTGTGTCTCTCTTTCTCAAGTTGCTTTGAGGGTTTCCTTCCACCCCATCCTTGTATTTTATTGTCGCCCACAACATATACATCAAAATGATCCAAGAACTTCCAAATGCCTTCCAGCTTAGGTACAAGTAGAAGAAGAACAGATAAGGAGTGTCAGAAAGGCATCATCACATTCAATGACTTACATTGGAGGAGAAAGATAACGAGCCCCATTGAACTGTAAAGTCAGAAGTGAAAATTTTCTTGCAGTGAGAAGTACACTAATCAGATGGTCTCCTGGCCTGTAAAAATTCCATGGATCTCCTCTGTCCTGCTGCTTCAACGTTGGGGGGCATTTGGTCCTGAGCTTTCCAGAGCTCCTCTGGCTCAGCAGGAGCAACAGCAACAGAAGCCATAGCACAAGGTCCATGCTTCCTTCGGCTGAACCAGCTTCTTCTCTGTTTCTAAAAGAAGAGTTTTTAGAGCCCTCTCACAAGATTGGAATGCCAGTGGCTTTCCTGATTCAGACAAGAGACAAGCTGAACTTCACCTGCCAAGGAGAGAAAGGACACCCAGGAGCAGAGCCCCTGCATGTCCTAAATCTTGTGCACAACACCCAGCATGACTGGTGTCATTTATCCTTCTGTTCTGCTTCGGTCTGGTGTTTACATCAAAGGCAATAACTGGAGAAGTGGCAGATTTTGGTCTCACAGACAAGGCCCGTGATAATTATAGTGATAAGAAGCCTCTGCTCTGGGGATCCAAAACTTTCTTTGGGGCTCCAAATGCAGAGGGGTTGCTGGAGAAAAGAAAAAAAATCTTACTGAGAAGTCACAGGTATATCCCTGGGTGCATTGTTCTGTAGTAGTTGTGGTGCTTTTTGTCAAGACATGCCTTAGAAAGTGAGGCTGCAAATAGATATTCAATACCTTGTGTGACTTCTGGTGTCCTTCAATATTTTCGGTTGTCTCCAGAGACTGCTGGAGAAGGTCAAGCAGAGCTATGGAGTTTGGTGCTACTCTGTTTTGGTGCCACTTAACTCTATTGTTGCCTACTATTCAATGCCAAGGAAGCAATCAGCAACCTTGCACCCTGCCTAATTTTAAAAGTAGAGCCTGTTTGGGATTTTCTAGGAGATCTTCATATATTAATAGGGGTGTGTGAAAGAGTGATCTGGGTCCAAGTGTGTAACACCACAGTTTATTTTTATTTCCTCATCCAGAGTAATAAAATAACAATATCTAGGGATATACATGCACTTTTCTATTCCACTCTACAATTTTTACATTTCCTTGTTCATATTCCAAGCAGGACCTGTCTGTGAATGGCTGGTCAAGAAGTCCAGAGAAAGAGAAACTGGATTCTCTCCCCAAGGAGCAGATTGAAGGGATCCTGTCTATAGACAGTCACATCATTTACCCCATGGCCTGCCTGGGGCACAATTAATTTTGAACCTGATCTGCTTTGCATAGGCAGAGCATGAGTTCTACCTAACAATATTCCTCACTTTGCTCTTCTTGTTGTCAACACAAGCATTTGCAATGCCACTAAGTTTGAGAATCCCATAATATAGAGATGACCAATTCAACATCACTCAGTGATTAAAGATTCTATTTCTTGCCCAGTCCTAACCTCACCGAAATGATGAGTTTTTCTCCTGGGGAGAAGACTGCACAAATGAATGCATAATTTTAGGAGAGTGTGGTACTACAAAGTTTTGGAAGCCCTGTGTTGCATGGCTGTTGTTCAAGCATGGGATTGTCTGATTCACATGTGATTCTCTAGATTCCAAAGGTTTGAATTATCTCCTCCTCCCCAGTTAAATTTCCTGGCCAGCTTTAATAGCTTATAAATACTGACTTATTTGCAGACCTGGATTTTGTGGTTGCCAAAATTAAATACGCAGAAAGCATTCACATTCATGAACATTGAATCTGATTTGCTTTTAATTCAATATAATTTGATCACTTGGCCTCACTTTCTTATTTCTCCTCTCCCTGCCCTCTTGGCTTAATCTGGCCCATAACCTGTCATTCAAAGGCTAAGTCCTTGACAAAGTTACATTGTTTTTTCTTTGCACTGTTCACATCTTTGGGATGCATTTTTCTTCCCCACTTTCTGAAACCCAGCCTTTTCTTATAACATTCAGTTGGCCATTGTGACTGGGGAGACTTATGTCTGACATTACAGAGAAGCATCCAAATGGGAAAATAATGCAAGGTATTTATTTTATTGGATCTGCTAAGCATTTGCTCTGACATTTTTCTTCTTCTGTGGTGTCAGATGTTGTCGATAAATAATATTTCCATGGATTGGGGATTCTTTGAGTGGAAACCCAAGCCATATACAAATGAGGGTTGGACTAGATGGCCTGTGGGGATCCTTTTTAACTCTGTGGTTTTATTTGTGGTTCATAGGACATTTTTAAATATGACAAAAGTCCCATGGTTTTTATTGGTGAGAACCTTCTTCAGTGACCTTATCTGATTGGTATTATGAAGCTTTCCATGCCGGGCTTCAGGTGATGATTCAATGCAAGATGCAGGCTATGCTAGCAATTTTTGCTGTGGACAAGGATTTACTGCTCTGCTCAACTTTTGGGAGGCTGACTGGATGCCATGTGGAAGGTTTAACAGTAGCAATAACAATAGCACTTAGACCTATATACCGCTTCACAGTGCTT